GAGAAAAATCGAAAAAACGAACTACAAACATATTAACGCCAAACATTCGGTAGAATTTATAGAATATTGTAAAAATTATGGTCTATTACCAACATATATATATATATGTATATATATATATATATATATATATATATATATATATATAATTATATATATATATGTGTGTAATTATTTATAAAGATCACTGCGTTTTCGGCATTATTCAGTTATATAGTATTGTCCCATCTTTGTAACTACTACATTGATGATGGCAGTTGATGCTGAAAAGAGCTTTTTTGTAGTAATAACGTTATTAATAATGTTTTGTCAAAAATGTCAAATATTAAAAGTTTTTTATTTAACCTTAATAAACTTCATCATGATGATAAAAGTCTCGTTAGAAAAATTGAGACACTCAACTACAAGTTGAATAATGCCGAAAACGCAATGGTCTATATAAATAATTGTATTTATGATAGTCTAAACCCAATATATCTATATATATATATATATATATATATATATATATATATATATATTTTAAGGAGACAAGGAGACCATATTTTATACAGTATTGTATGGATTCTACCGAATTGTTGGCATTAGTCAATTTTAAGTTTGTCTAGTTTGTCTTTTCAATTTTCCTTACTCAGTTCACTTGGGTAATAATTCTATTTTCAATAAATTGAAAAATTTTTAGAAAATTCTATATGGCAATGTATATAAAGAAAATAGAAAAATGTAGAGATAATTGAAAAGACAAACTTTAAATTGATTAATGTTAACAATTTGGTAGAATTCATGCAATACTGTATGTATATATATGGCTTGGTAAAGTTTAGTTGGAGTACGTTTGTCGTGGCGGCGGTTATTGTATAAATAAGAAGATATAAATAGAAACTTAATGAAGAAACCATTGCTTATCTGCTCACCATGCATGTTCATCATGTTTGTATTGTCCAGGTTCATATTCATATTGTTCATTGAAGCTCATTATCGTTTGAGTTGTCTCGTTCATGTTTGTTTGCGTCGTTCATGTTTGTTTTGTTATGTTACGTTCGTGTTCGTAATTTTTTCATTTTTTTTATATAATTATTTGATTTACAGGAAGCAATCTTGTTTTACCTTAGTGAGTTTTTTCCTTATTTAATCCATTGCTTTCTTTATTTGAAATTAATCAGAAATTATATCATTTAATTGACTGCATGTGGTTTGTTGTCCTCACTGGATGACACATTAAGGTGTTGTTGTGGCAGGATCATGTTACTGCTGTTTGTTCTTTTACTTCAACGTTTCAATATTTTTTAACGTATTTTTATTGTTTAAACCATATCTTTTTACATTGCCAATTAATTAAAGACTTGTATTTAGTTGGTTCCATCATCCATACCTGTCATTATTTTCAAGTTAAACGAGTAGTTGGTTTCACTCATATTCTTGTCACTATTTTTTAAGTTACTCGTGGAAAACTTTAGTATTATTTTTCTGTTAGCGTAACTAATTCACACCCCAAATCAAATTACTATGGGTTGTCCGTCGTAGCTTTCAAAATTTCGTGGTTTTTTTCTTCGAACTCCTTGTTAATAACGTTGAATTTAAAAACATAAAACGATTTTTCAGAACAGTTAATGACATTTCACGTGTAACAAAGGGTTGTTTATCACGTTTCAAAATTCAAAGCTTTTTCATGATCATTTTATGTCTTTAATACATAGAAATTTTCTAATATAAAATCGTTTTGTTTTATTTTCAAACGCACAATAGCGTACAGAAACAAAAAAATTGAAGTACTGTTTTATAAAATTCAAGTGCAATCAAACATCAACTAATTCAAAAATTACTGTAATATATATATGAGTCATCGGTTTGATAGACGGCTCAGCACAACAGACTGTAAATATAAACACGGCCTGCGAATCAAAACTTTGCACTTTAGAAACTTTGATCGAGCACGTGTGATTCTTTCCCCATTTATAATACTTGGATACGAGTGCTGGTTTTAAATAAAGCTCCGTCTGTTGTTTATTGATGTTTGATTAAATTTTTACAAACTAAATATTATTTGTGAATAAAATCGTTTAAAATTTAAATAAATAAATAGAGGAAAATGTTGAAACTCGATAATTCATGGATGATGTTCGGTCTCTGCATTCTGATGTTGTCAGCCGGTATAGGAGCACAGAGGTGGGCTATTCCCTACGGAACGACGTGGTGTGGGCCTGGAAACATTTCAAGAGCATCAAACGTTGCCGAGGGTTACTTTAAGAAAATCGACCGTTGTTGCATGATTCACGACCACTGCAACGACACGATAGCCTCACTCAGCATGAAATATAGCTACTTCAATTTCAGGCCCTGGACAATAAGCGACTGTGAATGCGATGAGGAGTGAGAATATATTTTAGCATTTTCATTCATTTCTATTGTTAATATTATTATCATTTTTGTTGCTATCAGTTGCGGAGGTAGTGGTGGTTGTATTATTAAAATTATTTGTAGAAGTAATATTTTTGGTGATTATATTGATATATTATTATTGTTACTATTATTGTTAAGTTTAATAACAGCACAACTTAATGCAGTTTTGTTTGAAAATATTATTTTACTGCGCTAAATAGCTAGTAGCCTATTCGATCATTTGATTTATTTTTTTAACGCTTTCATGTTATAAAAATTTGATACTTGCTAGAAGTCATCCGAAAGAAACTATCAGACATCAAACATTCACATGTTAAAATAAGTTAAAAAAAACTTAATGTTAAAAAATCCGCTGATTGTGACAAGATATTTTCGAAGGTTTTAAAAGAATGTACCACTTCTATTGTCATTTTTTTATGTCATCTCTACACAAAATCTTTAAGCGATGCGACTTTACCAGCTGATTGAAAGACAAGCATAATATCGGCTATATATATATATATATATATATATATATATATATATATATATATATATATATATATATATATATATATATGTATGAGAAGAGTGCGATTTTAGAATTATAGAAGCGATTGTTAAGGACTTTTGATTGTTAAGATCATTTTGAGGAAACAAATTATTTGATATCAATCGATATAGTTTTTAAAAGGTCGTTCTACTTCTCTTCATTTATTAGAATTAATGAATGTATGGTCTGAGGCAGTTGATATGGGTTGTGAAATTTATGTGCTGTACACGGTTTTTGAAAAAGCATTTGACAAGGTTAATCATGGAAAATTAATTTTGAAGCTGTGTATGTTGAATATTAGTGTATTAAATTGAATTAAGGAATATATTAAGAATAGAAACTTTCCGGTTGCTTTGAATAATGAATTTTCTGAATGTTCTGATGTGTTGATAGGTGTCCCACAAGGCAGCGTCTTGGGACCTGTCCTGATTATAATATATGTGAATTATATATTTGAACTGTATGATGCTTTGACTGATTTGTATTTATTTGCTGATGATGCTAAACTTTTTACTGTGGCTAAATCACTTGATGATCAAATTTTGTTGCAAAATTGTTCAGATAAGTTAGTTGTTTGGTGTGATTTGTGGGATATAAGGCATGTATGTAGGCCGTGTGATGTTGATAGTACAGTGCCTTCATGGCATAATAGTATAATTATAATTATAGAATGACGAATAATTATGAACAGTTCTGCGTTTGTCAGAGCTGAATAATAAAGTAAAAAAACTTATTTTGTGCAAGAAATACTCTAAAATTGACTAATTTTTCAAAAAGTTATACAAATCTGCTTTAAAAATTAAGCGAACACAACTTGCATTAAGCAGTTTTATTAATAAGGATATTAGTTTGAAAGACCATTTTGGTTATTTGTTGAAAATCTATTGTTAACTACATCTGAGTTGAATGAATCATGAAAAATCCAAAATCCAGGGTGATATTGGATAAAATATAGTAACTTCTCTCGTTCGATAAAATTTCTCAACTTTAAAAACACATGTGTTTTAATAGAGAAATGAGGAAAATATATAGTAAAACAAATGAAAGACATAAAATTACAGATTTTCTTCTTTTCAACGCGTTAAATAAAAGGAATGGTTAATGGTTTTTTTTAATTTTTTATTGTGTTATTTATGTTTACTATTTTATTGTTGTTATGTAGTTCCGACATACACCGAACTGCTTACATGCCAAAAAGACTGACGCACATACATACATACATACATACATACATACATACATACATACATACATACATACATACATACATACCTTTTGCATTCTGGATGGAGCTGCTAGATACCTGACTGTGCGAGACCAGGGACATAGATAAAAGTTGAACTCGGAAACGATTGCATGCCTAACCATGGCTTGTTCATCAAAACGGGTTCATACATACATACATACATACATACATACATACATACATACATACATACATACATACATACATACATACATACATACATACATACATACATACATACATACATACATACATACATACATACATACATAAATACATACATACAATACGTACATAAATACATACGTACATACATACATACTTACCTCCTCTGAAGACTCTCGCTGAACGCTCGTTATGTTCGAGTTTGTACATACATACATACTTACTTACATGCATGCATGCATGCATGCACGCGCAAACACCGCATCACACGCGCATGGCGCATGATAGTCTAAGTATAAGAGAGACAGTATTCGAACCAGACCATCGCGTAATAGCATCGCGAGATATGGCACTTTCTACTGACTGAGCTAGTTCGCTAACCATTTTAACACTTGCTTATATTTTTTCCACAATTTAAGAATCATGTCTATGAAACAAGTTTTTTAGCGTCGTCTTATACTGAAACACATTGATGGATTTTAATTGAATGAAAAACTTTACAAATGTTTTGATGAATTTTGTAAATAATAAATAAATTAAATAATAATAAATTTTCAGATTTCGTCTGTGTTTGCAAAATTCATACACACCGGAACAAAAAATTAGTAAAATGATGGCTACACGAATCGGTGAACTGTTTTTTAACAACCTGAACAACGTGTGTTTCCGTCCCCAGTACAACAAGGTGTGTGCGAGTTGGAACGATGCTCACGACTGTACCAGCTATAAGATGAA